GCACAAATCATTCCATTTTATAAAATAGAAAAGTTTTCCTATAAAACTTTAGTACAGTTACTGTTTTACTATTCAAAATGAAGCCATCTTCTGTTTAAACTTTATTGAGATTATCCCAAGCGACGCGAATAGCTAGGGATTCTAATATTTCGGTGCGCATTTAAACGATAACCCGAAATAGCCCTTTAAAGAAGAATGTTGCTATTTACCTAACTTATTTTTTATTACCATTCGTTATGGGTCGTTTTCAGTTTTGGGGGATATTACTTATTACGGCTACGATGGATATTTGCATAGTTAATTACGGCAATGATAGCTTTTAACATCCAAATTAAGTGTTTATAGAAAGCGTTGTATGACATTTAGGTACTGAAATCCCTACAAAAGCTTCTAAGGCTAGTAAATATAATGTGGTAGTAACCAGTTAGTAGTAGTTTTGTAGTAAGGCAAGAATAATGACATGTTAATTTAATTTTGATTGCTGCTTTATAGGGGGTGGCAGCATGCCCTAAGGATTTCAATGCAAAATGCTTGAAATAAGAGGTGCACTTAAGGGGAATTGGACTTGCATACGCAAGGTACTTGCCTTATTGTTAATTGATATCTCAAATATACCTACCTCGACTTTCATCAGAATTTCACGACCGTTCGTAAAGGAACTGTAAAATAAATTTTAAGGGATGCGTCCCATGAGCAAGCAAAAATATATTAGAAATTAATATTTATTTACTTGCCCAGAGTTGGACTGGGTCACTGGGTCAACTGGGTCACCTGAGTCACGTCATACTTTTTTCAGTTAGACCCAGTTTGACCCAGTGACCCAACTTGACCCAGTTTGACCCAGTGACCCAGTTTGACACCAGCGACCCAATTTCACCCGGGGACCCAATTCGACCCAGTAACCTAGTTTGATCGAATAACGCAGTTAAGTTAGTGCCCTCGGTTCAAGTGTACAGATCATGAAATAAATGAAATGCTGGTTTGTTGAAAATAATACTCGATTGCTTGACAACTGCCATTTCTGTGATGTTTGCTTTAATACTGCCGTAAAAAACTTTCCATGTCCCGAATTGTATTAGAATAATGTTATTTCTTTGCTTCAGGGCTTACCAGTTTGCTTACAGGTGTTCATTCACATTTAATTTTTTTCTACTAGTTAGCTTAATCCAAATAAATCTTTTCTCTAAATACTTTCATTGACTACTTGACTACAAACTATAAACAAATGCATTTGATTTTTTTAAGTATTAGTTCTCTTGAATGAAATTGGGCTACGTGCTTGTTGGCGAATATTATTGAGGAAGTTTTTTTTTAAATTAAAAGTTACTTGAAATTGTTTTGGATGATACCTAACAAGAATTTAATTACTGGGTCACCGGGTCAAGATGGGTCACTAAGTAAAGCTGGGTCAAGATGGGTCACTGGGTCAAGCTGGGTCACCGGGTCAAGCTGGGCCACAGGGCCACCGGGTCAGGGTCAAACTGGGTCACCGGGTCAAGCTGGGTCACCGGGTCAAACTGGGTCAACTGGGTCACCGGGTCAAGCTGGGTCACCGGGTCAACTGGGTCACCGGGTCACTGGGTCAGTAAACTAACTGGGTCACCGGGTCACTGGGTCACTCTATGCTTGACCCAGTCCAACTCTGTACTTGCCTTCTCTATACGAACAAATGAAAATAGTTGGTAACTTTAATGAACGTAAAGCAGTAAATAACTATGCCACAACAACCCTCTAGTCATTTTGCTTCTTTTGCGTCCTCAACACCTTTAAAGTCCCCTTTCTCTACTTCTTGCGCTACCAATACCAAGAATAAGCATGTTACAACGACCCTCTTGGCTCTTACCATGCTTCATTATGTTTAACCTTTAATGTGAGAGCCCAGGAACACTGTCTGGCAATCAATTAATATAATACCTAATCTTCTTTGGCAACGCCCCATTTAGACACTGGTCAGGCGGTCACTACATTGACACGAACAAAATTCGGTCCATCTGTGCGTCTGCCTCGTCTAACTCGAGAACGAAAAGAGACAGCGATGTCAAACCTTTGCCAATCGATTTCTGCGCGTTCAAGGATCAGTGCTATTGAATAATAAACCGGATTAAAAGTCTGATTTCCGAATACGGACAGAGTGGCAAAAAGACGCCAGGTCTGGTGGGTAAGCCGCATGAGCTAGTGGTCTCCAGCCATACGACTCGACCAATTCCTTCGCGATATTTTTAAAGCGGGTAGTAGGAAAAAAACACAAATGACCATTTTCCAAAAAAGTCACTGGCTAAAAAATGGACCCCTAGGTCGCCTTGAAAGTACGGACGACTGGTTTTTCTAAGCTCGTTTAATCGGAACATTACTCTAATATGGTTTTGGAACGCTATTCGAAACTATTCGCTTTGACTCTCCAAACGCTAAAACGAAAATCCCTAATTTTCGTGCAAAAAAATTAATTTTGTAACGCCTACTTCATGGTGGAAGAGCAATGGCGGAGATGTTATTAATTTTCATTGGCCCACCAGCTTGTTTTCCTTTCAACTGCGTTTAACTTGCCGCGTTGCATAAGTAACTTAAATATGACCTGTTCCCAACTCAAGTCCCAATTCAAAGCCAAAACCAGATAATGGGGATACAGAACCAATTTAGAACAAATACACATTGACGAACGTCTGAGAAGACAAAAATCAACAAAATAAAAACTTGCACTTGTTATGAGTAACATTTGTTTGGTGGAATGCTCCTGAGACCTTGACTTTTTAATCTCAGAAATTTTTTTCCGCATATTTCAAAAGAACCAAAAATTTAACGCCAATAAATGCTCTCGTTACGTCTACCAACTATCCCAACACCTTGTAATAAGAAATAGTACAACATACATGGGGTGCGGATTTTAAAAGCATACGAAAAATAACCGTTGCAACCCCAATGGTCAGAATAAAATATGGAAGCGAAATATATGGTTTGTCGCGACAAACAACTCTTATGCCAATTGAAAAACTCACCAACTAAGCTATGAGAGCAAACGAGAGGTTATCGAGAATAGACTACACTAGGGCCAAAGTTGTTTATTTCAAATGAAACATCCCTTGGTGGACCATGCAACAAGGTAGTGCATACTTTGTTTTAGATTCCGGGAAAAAGTCAGAAGTATCCCCACAGCAGCAGCAAAGCAAAGTTTATTGTCTATTGCGAGCTGTCATTGAGTTAGTCCTTACCACCGGCGGCCATCAGTATTCACGGCGGAACAGATTGTGTTATATACCAGGATTTAGAGTTAGGTGAGGAACCACTGGACAACGAATTCGTCCTCTTCTCGTTCAGTAAGTGTACATAACTCGAAGGATCAGTTTTCCAAATTAATTATAAATAAAGTGGAAGTGATAAGGAGCGGAAAAACGATGCATTTGTTGTTGATAGAGGTAGATGTAAATTGGATATTTAAAGCAAATTAGAAAAGACAAATGATGGAGGGCGAAATGATACTGGGAACAACTGACGCTATGTATCCAGACAGGAGCTTCATAGAAAGGACCAAGTGGTCATTAGCCGGATGAGTATCGGACACACACATATAAAGCATGGGCACCTACTTGTTGGAAATCCCGCTCCGAAATGCCCAAAGGATGGGGAAGAGACCGTCACGTCGAGCACATCCTTCGCTACGAGAGAGCAAGTATTAGAATAAACAATAAAACAGTAGAAGAACTATGCCAAGAAGGAACAGAGAATGAACTATCAGAGTTTATTAAAGAGGTGAATATCTATAGTAAGATATAAAGACTGAGAAAGGATAGAAATAGATACTAAGTCAAGTAAATACTTACCTCAACCGCTAATAGCCCTAGCAGATGATGAGGGTTGTCAAAAAAAGTCTATTGAACCTACCCAAACGTACGAGCGAGATAACGCTCAATAGAAACAAAACTTAACGCGCTAAAAATTAGGGTTTATGTAACCCTTATTCTGAAATATTTATTCAAGCTTACGCGACGCGTCAAGGCGATAATAACGCACGTGGCAGACTTCAATTTGAAACAACAAGAATTTAAACAAGAAGGAAAGTAAAAACCCCTTAAGAAGTATCACAGACTAATCAAGATTGAGCGTAGGGATTTCGAAAGAGGAAAAACTCGGGCGTTATTGAATTATGAAGAAATAACTATATCTCGATAAATGCATTTTCCTATCCTTTTAGATCAAAAGTTTTGATAATGACAGATACGCTTTTTTTTGAAATCTGGTGAATTGATATTGTCAGCTAATATAACAGAAATTTAAGTTAACCACCTAGATAAACAAAACTATCTACTAAATTCATTTTTCTACACTGCACTATACAAATAACGATCTCAGTGAAGGTGAAAAGCTGAAATATTTCAAATAAAGCAGAAAGAATCCTCAATTGACTTGTAATCAATACCGGTTTTTCCCATTTAATTGCTGTAATTAAAACAAATGAAGCGGTAAAATATCGTTCGAGGATGCTGCTGTAACAAAACAGTAGTATCCAACTAAACGGCACTATAATAATCATCGTGGAAAAATATACAATGTTTCACCTTTAACTCAAAATGAATTTTACAAAGTGTAATTATTACAAATTATGGAGAAGTGTAAAAAGAATAACTAATTTGCTTTATTAATTTAGTAGTCGGAAAATTTACACTGGCGCCCAAATTTCTAAAAACTTTTCACAATTGTACCAATCACAGCTGAAAGTAAACTAATAATCCAAATGGAAGGGTTCGCTTGTTTCCAAAGCAGGCTCTATTAGAATACAATTTTATGTTTGGTTGGTATCAAACCTGGTAAAGTAAACCGATATCACTTTGTACGCGTCACTTAGCGGTTAGTGGAGCTTTTGTTAATTGCTGTCGGGATCTCGGAGTCCTTGCCAGATAGACGGTTGAGAACGCACCTTTCAGCGGGGTTGATTACTAGTTCTTTGAAGGGAGTTAAGAGTGGCGCAGGCGCCACCCTCGCGACTGACTCACCCGCGTCAGTTTCCGCGAACTGCGAAAACGGTCACCCACGTTTTATTATCCCGGCGCTCTTATGTCACATAGGTTCGGTTGGTTATAAAAATTTAATTTTATGAGTCGATCGATTAAACAAATTTTCGTGGGAAATTATTTTTCAGGTAAGAGTTAGTACTTGCATGCTTGATGTTGGAAAGGCGTCGTCGGGCGAATAAGTTGATGTTTTGCATAAATTTGGAAGATTGTATAATATGAGCGCGACTGGTGCCATGCTAAACGTGCACCCTTGCAGATGGTCAATATCGTTATGTGGCGCAGAAAAGTGGTATTTTGTGGCCCACATCTCAGCAACGATCCAAGAAACGTTTCTAAAGTTTACGGCGCAAAAAGTTTCATTTCCCTGTGTCATTTACACTCGAGGCGACCGATATGAATTATGGTTTCAACCACTACCATCATAATAAACACTTTGCAGAAGAAAATTCGCTATTATAAGGCTCCACCACAACAATTTTTGGTCGACGACTTTATGGTATTTGCGACCCACAAGTGAAATTTACTACCGATCTACGAGGTGCAGAATTTTCAAAACATTTGGCAAGCACCCCGTTTGCGCTTTAGCGTTACTTTAAATACGGATTCTCAATTGCGCTTATGAAACAAAACTTTGTGAAAAGTATTACGGAAATCTATATCTCAATCTGGAGCCACCAAAAAGGAAATCGAAGTACAAAGTGTACGTAAACACGGGGTTATTTATGGTGACATAAAGCGTTCTCGGCTTACAATCTCCACTTTTGGGTCATGTCTACATATTTCTCCTTTCTGAACAGTTTCTTGTGACATTGATAATGGCCATTACTGTTCTCGCTGGATCTTTATTAATATTGCTTATTATTACGCTGTCAATCTTTTTATTATAGATGCCTTAATCACTAGGATTAAGTGGAAAATTAGTCAGTCGACTAATCTTATAAAACAAAATAAAATACGATATTAATTTTCGCGGGTACTCTGCGGAAAATGCTAGTGTAATCTTCTTCTTTAGAAATTGAATTTGTAAGCTCGAAATAATCTCGCTGTAGAGGATTAATCCCCACTTTCAAATTGGAAATATCGCCTTTAGCTACATTTTCATAGTGTACGGCATTAATTTCCCACACGCTTTTCAGTAGCGAATGATTTGAAAAAGTCAACTGTAATACACCTTCACCTTACATAAAACCCAGACCTCTAATTGTGGAAAGGTGTGATATTATTCGAGGACGCACTTTCCCGCACAGGATTAACGGTGCGTATAAAGCGTCACGTAGGAGCACGAATATGTTTTCCGTCTGATTTCATTTTCGGGGACAAATCGAATAGCCGCCATGAACTATTTCCTTGGGTACCCAGCAAATAGTTCATTTTTTACGCAACGTTTTGATGTTCGACAGCGTTGGTAAATATTCTCACAATTCTTGTGTAGTCTGGCATTAGGTTTTTAAAAAAATTGAAAAACTGTTTGTACTACTGCAAATATTTATAGCGTTTTCGATTGGCAAAACTCGTGCTGCACGAGTGCAATTTTTACGTTCTATTGGTAATTTTAGGGCAATTTTCTGTGTTCCATTGGCAAATGTGATGCAACAATTACGCACTCAGTGCAAATTTCGACGCACGAGGTCCGTGAGCTCGTGGAGCTGCTAGTTAACAAATTTTCAAAACAAACGTGCGACAATTTGAATTTGTTTCTTGCGTTGGGAGAGTTTTTTGTCGTCATTTAGCGATAGCGAAGATGATGAACTAGCCATAACTTCTATTTTACAAAAAGTTGCACTTACTCATTAAACTGAACGCCAAAAATTGGCCCTTTACAGGTATTTCAAATTTATATTTCTCATCGTTTATCATAAATAATACTGAAATCGTTTGTCATTTTTTAGAATAGAGATTTGTCGATTACCTAAATCTAAAATGAGGTTATGGACAAATGACAACAAATATTTACGAATATTTATGTTCCATTGAGAGCAATTTTCACATGGATTTCTTCAGTTTCTCGTGCAACACTCGTGCAGTACGAGTTTTGCCAATCGAAAACGCTATTAGTTTAGAGACCACGATAGTAGAAATTGTAGATTCATTTTTCTATCGATCTAAGACAAGTCGATTTCCTACAAATTTCTTGCTATATTTTTGGGTAGTTTGTCGACTTTATCGCTTAATATAATCAAAGTAGAGCTTAGGAAATATTTAGTTTTCAGTCGATTTAAAACAAGACGTTTCTCTATGAATGTTAGAGGCAAGACTATAGTCTTTAGAAAATTTTTTGGTTTCTCCACTGTTTCGCATAATATAATAAAGTAGCCTACATTTTCTTCATTCTGCTACAGCCTCCGGCTATAAGCCTTCAGAAATACTTATTTTTCAGGCGATCTCGCACAAGTCGACTTTCTATATATTTTAGATTCAAGGCTATAGTATTTGATATATTTTTTGGTAGTTTGTCCATTGCACTTATTAATATCATCAAAGTGACCTAATTTTTTTCACAAGGCAACTTTTTATCAATTTTAGAGGCAAGACTATAGTCTTTGCTACATTTTGTTTGGTAGTTCTAATGTTTCGCTTAAAGCGACCAATTTTTCTCACTTTTGCCAGCTCTTTCTGCTCCAATCTTTCGGAGAGATTTATTTTTCAGTCTAAAACAAGTTTATTTGGTATAAATTTTAGAGGCAGAATCCACAATCCTGCTCTATTGACTTCTATGGGCAAATATCAAATCTTCCCTTCGGAAAGTGATCTGAGGATTGCTAATCCCCCTTTGGAGACATTAACTTGCCCAAGTGTAAGTTCTATGGCGAGGTAGATGAAACTACGAAGCATGTGGTGTGTCACTATGATGCCTTAATCAGCAGACATCAGCTTCTTGGCGACAGTTATCTGGAACCGGGGAGGGTGGTCAACTTAAGCTTTACGGGGTGTTTTATTGAGTTGCGAAGGAAATAGGGTAGGCACAATGGGCATTATACTAATCTAGCTAACATCATCTTCCATCTACCGCTGTGCTGGGTTTGGTTGTCTTGAGTTATTCAGTTGAAACTGTAAGTGGAAGAGCCGGCTCTGGACCATAAAACAGCTGTTTTGAGGCCAATGTCAACATGTGAGTTCAAGTTCAAGGGTGTTGCTGCGTAATACTTGCTTTAGTGTATGATGACACTCGGACCACCCTAGAGGTAATTTTACTGTGACCAAGTGCCTACAGGGACTTCCAGTGTGGACAGTTGATAGTTCAGCGATCTCTGTATCTGCCCTACAATTCAGTGTAAGGTTGACTCTCTAGATCTTCTTGGGGAGTATGCGTGTTGGTTAGTGTGCAGCGGAAACCGTGTTTGCGCCGTATCTCTTATGCATCTATTGCACATGTCTTTCAAGTGTCTTAAGAAGAAAAGATATCAAGCTGATTGCATGGTGTGCTTTAAGTGTTTCCCAACTGAGTTTTCTACTTTTCGAGCGCCCTGCGTCATCAGGGATTCTCAGAGGACATGCTTGTTCATGAGTCTACAATGAAGGTGGTATACAGTTTTGTCCTGTAAGTCGGGAGGACTATTGACTTTAAACTCGGAATTCAGGCTTTAAAATTGTAATTCATAGTTTAAAGTCGGAATTATAAAATCAGGGAGGGGAGAAATGAACTGGACTCGCAAGTCGACTAACTTCTGAGACACACGACGGCACGAATTCAAGAGTGCCTTGTGCCCGTTCCTTGTCTTACACTGTTCAAGGCAATCGACCATACGCATACCAGAAATTAAACTGACGCTAACACTTTTCCGGTCGAGACTTCAGCGTGAGCAAGTGCCGGCATCCATCGCAAGAAGCTTTTTCATGTACAATTCATTGCGTTCCCCTTTCCTGGAAATGCCCACACTATCAGCTCGCTCACGCATTGACTCTGATTACCAAATCGGGGAGGTTGTCGATGATCTATTTAGTAACAGAGGAAATTGGTGTCCCGGGACGCATATTCGTAAATAACAGACGAGCAGCGACGGACCTATGGGGGGGCAAGGGGGGGGGGGCAGGTTGCCCCTCCAATACTTAACTAGTTGGCAATTTTGACAAGAGTTGGTAATTTGCATTACCAGTTGGCGAATGCCACCCAAAGTAGGTAAATCGTAAATGTAATAAATCTACTATTGAAGGAATGAGGAATTGCGGCAAAATCTATAAAAAAGGACTCTTTAATAGGAACAAGGAAAGTCACTTCCTTCTTCAACACAAGGTTGGCATTTTGGTAAAACTTTTAATTAGTATATTAGAGACCGTATACTGCTATCTTACATTTTTTACATGATTTATTAGACTTGGAAATACCACTTAATACTTAATAGATACTACCCGTTTGAGTTGGAAATTTTTACAGTTGAGTTGGCAAAATGTCATGTCTGCCCCCCCAATTTTTTTGTCTAGGTCCGTCCCTGCAGACGAGTTATCCTTTCGGAAAACTCAGCAGCATTTTGCGTTTTACAAAAGTTTGAGAAGAGAATTTTAAACATACAAATAAGTTGAATTGGGACACCTACGCATTTTTTGTGAAAAAAATATAAAAAAGATGCAAAGAATCGAACCAAAGCCGCGCGTTTGCAAGCCGAGTACCCTTGCCACTAGACCACTATGGTACACATTCAATCGTTATTAAAATGAGTTCGCATTCCGAAATAGTTGTGGGGAAGGGTCATTTTTCGTATGCATGCGTACGTTTACAAAGATGCCTCCGGACACGGCACGTCCACGACCCTCGTAACAACGGCATGGAGTCTTCATAAAAACACAAATACAGATAAAAGGAGAATTCTTAGATGTTTGCAAATTACATAGCAACAGTATTAATATTTCCGAGGAATTTCCACCTCGAGCATTCTACTAGTGAAATTAAAGATGATTTCCCAGAAAAATATTTTTCCGGAAGAAGTTTTGTTCTCTCTTTTGCAATATTCTCATTCAGTGATTAGTGACACAAAGCATTTAAAATTTTTTCGGTAGAGGATCAATAATAACATGGCCACCTTTGATATGTTATTGTGGGCAGTAATGTGACCGAAAAACATTTTTGTTTGCCGATTACGAAAATACGTAAAAGATCAATACCGCCCGTTTTCCTAGGTCGAATAGCGTA